ACAGATCTGCCAGCTCCTTGATTTTTTAGTCCCGTGGGACTCGTGTTGGACTTCTGATATTCAGAACTATGCGGTAATAAATTTGTGTTTTTAAAGCCACGGAGTTTGTGGAAATTCGTTATCACAAGAACAGAAAATGAGTACATTGACTTTCTCATACAGGTGATGACTAACTCTGCTATCTATAGCAGCCCCTTTCCAAAAAAGTAGTGCTGTTTTTAAAAAAAGTGCTACATTTATCAAACATAAAGCATAATAATAAGACACAATTGTATGCTGAAGTCGTTAGAAAAAAAATTAAAATTCATCAAAAATCCAAACAAGAGAAAAGTCCAGATAAATTCCCAGATAGGAGCATCAAACATTCCTCTTATATTCACAAATCAGATCTGACTAAGAAGATGCTTAAACTAAAATGATTTCTCTTCTATTTATGGATAAAATGCATTATTCATTAATTCAACACATAAATTCATAAAGCCTCTTCCATGTGCCAGGTACTGAGGTTTTCCTACCTTCAAGATGCTGACTATCTATGTGAATGGGGACCAGTGCAAAAATAAGTTCTTCACATCTTAGTTCATTAATGCCAAAATTGGTAATAGCAATAGAGCCACAGCTTAAAAGTTATGTCACTGTAGATAGATATACAGAGAGCTAAGACATGTGCACTTGTTACCTATTGCTGCTTAACATATTAGCATCTTCTAAGACAACAACACTATTTCACACAGTTTTGAGGGTCAGGAATCTGGGAGTGTCTTAGTTGGATGGTTCTGGCTCAGGGTGTCTCATGAGGTTACAGTCAAGCTGTCAGCAGGGGCTATAGTCAACTCAAAGATGAACAAAAGCTCACTTGTGTGGTTGTTTGCAGATCTCGATCACTCCCTGGCTATTTGCCAAAGGCTTCAGTGACTTGCCATGTGGGCTTCTCCATAGAGCTACCCTAAGACAACAGGTGGTTCTCCTCAAGTAAGTGGCCCCAAAAGAGTGAGAGAATAACCAAAACAGAAGCCAAGGGTTTTTATAACCCAATCTCAGAAATGACTTGCCTTCATTTCTGTCATATTCTACTGGTCACACAGATGGACTCTGGTATAATATGTGAGGAGACTGCCCAAGGGTGTGAATGGCAGGAGGCAGGGATTGCTGGGGCTGTACTGGAGTCTGATTACCACACCATGTTCTCCCAAAACATTTTAACAAGGAAAGCCATGCAGTATCATATGCATAGTTCTAAAAAGTTGGTCATGAGGTCTGGAGTAGTCATGGATCTGCTACTCTCCTGACTGTATACTCTATCAAGGCCTTAGTTTCCATGGTTGCAAAATGAGAATGGAGTCCTAGTTATCAGTAACATTGGGTGACAGCACTGCTGCTGCTCCTCCTACACTTCACATTGATGGTCTGTCATTGCCAACACTGTTTGAAGCACCACACCCTTACTAACTCATTTGCTTCTAACTACAACCTTCTGAGGTAGGTACAATTTGTACCACTCTGTGATTGCTGAGAAGATTGAAACAAACAGACGTCCACTCACTTGCCAAAGCTTCAGCACTAGTAAGAGGTAGTTACAATTTGAACCTATGTTGTTTAGCATCTAAATCCACATTCTAAGCCACTATGCACCTGAGAGCATGAAAAAAATGCAAGTACATAATACTTATAAAATCATCAGCAGTACTAACATTTAAAAGAAGAAAGCATGTTTAAAGTTGTGGTTCACTTAGACAATGCAGGAGATACCCTTATGGTAATTGGAACTGGCAATCAATGCCTGATCAAAACGCCAAGTGCCCATGCCATAAGAGATAAGATAGACAAGTGGGACCTCATCAAACTGACAAGCTTCTGCAAAGCCAAAGAAACCATCAAGAGAGCAGGGAGACAGCCCACAGGCTGGGAAAAAATATTTGCCAACTGTACGTCTGACAAAGGCCTACCATCAAGGATCTATAAAGAACTCAAACACGCTGAAAAGGAAAAAACAAACAGCCCCATTACAAAGTGGGCAAAAGATATGAATAGACAGTTCTCAAGAGAAGACATACGGGCAGCCAACAGATACATGAAAAAGTGCTCAGTCTCACTAGTCATCAAAGAAATGCAAATTAAAACCACACTGAGATATCACCTAACTCCAGTCAGGATGGCCATCATCAGTAACTCAAAAAACAACAGATGCTGGAGAGGATGTGGTGCAAAGGGAACGCTTCTACACTGTTGGTGGGAGTGTAAACCAGTACAGCATCTGTGGAAAACAGTGTGGTGATTCCTAAAAGATATAAAAAATCGACCTTCCATACGACCCTGCAGTTCCCTTATTGGGAATATACCTGGAAAAACTCAAATCACTCTATAAAGAAGATACCTAGCTGGGCTCGGTGGCTCAGTCTGTAATCCCGTGCCTTTGGGAGGCTGAGGTGAGTGGACTGCCTGAGCCCGCAGGTTCAAGACCTGCCTGGGCAACTTGGTGAGACCTCATCTCTATAATAAATCAAAAATTAGCCAGGCGTGGTAGCACGCACCTGTAGTTCCAGCTACTTGGAAGGCTGAGGTGGAAGGATCGCCGGAGCCCAGCAGGTTGAGGCTGCGGTGGCCGGCAGCGGCCACTGCACTCTAGTCTGGGCGACAGAGTGAGACTCCAACTCAAAAAAAAAAAAAAGATACCTGTATGCATATGTTTATTGCAGCATTGTTCACAATAGCAAGAACATGGAACCAACTGTGCTGCCCATCAAAAGAGGACTGGATAAAAAAATGTGGTTCATATACACGATGGAATATTACACAGCCATAAAGAAGAACAAAATCATGAACTTCACAGCAACCTGGATGGACTTAGAGTCTAGAATACTGAGTGATGTATCACAGAAACAAAGAACTGAGTATCACATGTTCTCACTCATAAGTGGACCTTGAATGACTATCTTAATACTATAAGAAAAGGATTGGCAGTAGCGGGAAACTTCAGGGGGGCAGGAGGGCAGGGGGATAGGGAGGCGGGATTGGCAGTAGTGGGAATCTGCCTGGGGATGAGGGGGCACACCCCATCAACAAGGGTACCTGCATAATAACATTTGTATGCTTAACCCTGAATTGTACTCCACGTCTTTAAAATAAAAAAATACAATAAAATAAAATGAAATTGTGGTTCAAAATAGTAGCTAAGTATGGTGGCATGCACCCATAATTCCAGCTAATAGAGAGGCTGAGGTAAGAGTATCACTTGAGGCCAGAGTTTGTGACCAGCCTGGGCAACATAGTGAGTTCCTGTCTCAAAAAAAAACAACAAAAAAAAGTGTAAGTCCATTTAAATGAGAGATCTAGAGTAGTTAAATTCATAGATAGAGAGTAGAATATTGGATGATAGGCTGGGGGGAGGGATGGAGAATGGAGAGTTAATGTTTAATGGGTATAGAGTTTTAGTCTATGAAGTTGAAAAAGTTCTGGAGAGGGATAGTGGTGATGGTTGCGCAACAATGTGAATGTACTTAATGCTACAGAACTTCACACTTACAAATTATAGAAACAGTCAGTTTTATGTTATATATATTTTACTACAATAAAAAAGACGTTAAACTACAGTACCTAATATTCCTTCAAGAGGCTTACTCAGTCCCATGAAGTTGATCACTTTAGATGTTTAGAAAATACAGAGAGTGAGCCGGGCTTGGTGGCTCAGCCTGTAATCCTGCACCTTTGGGAGGTTGAGGTGAGTGGATTGCCTGAGCCCGTGGGTTCGAGACCTGCCTGGGTAACTTGGCAAAACCTCATCTCTACAATAAATAAAAAAAATCAGCTGGGCGTGGTAGTGCACGCCTGTAGTTCCAGTTACTTGGAAGGCTGAGGCGGAAGGATCGCTGGAGCCCAGCAGGTCGAGGCTGCGGTGACCGGGAGCGGCCACTGCACTCCAGTCTGGGCGACAGAGTGAGACTCCAACTCAAAACAAAAAACAAAAACAAAAACAAACAAACAAAAAGAAAATACAGGGAGCGCCAAAAAATGTATTTATATTTTAAGTATGCCATTCACTCAAAAGATGACATTAATCAAATGCATGCTAGCATCACCATGCGAAAGGCAGGACAGTCAAAGAAGCATGGGTAAGTGAACTTCATACTACACATTGCTACCGTAATTTAATTCAACTCTGAAAATATATAGACAACATCTCTTAAAATGTGAACACATGTTTCTGACACCCCTATAGTTTAGTGATAAGGCATAGAAAGGAATCCAAAAGGACTCGCCTTTTCTGGTTGGTCCATCATCTTTCCCTCAACTACTTCTGGCTGCACTTTTTGTTACAAAAAAACATAAATTGTCAAAAAAAAAGTATCCTTTACTCTTATCTCTCCGAAGTCATATAAGTAGCAATTTTAAAGTGGAAATTGCAGTCCATTTCTAAACTCAGAGAAAATCTGCCCACACTAGGTGCTTCAGAGTATATACTTTAGGAACTGCTCTGTGATTATCATTATTTACACCCTTCCCTAGATGTATATTGTGTGTTCAAAAGTCAGAGATTGGCCCAACGAACTAGAAAGCACAGGAATCAACTGAGAGGGAGCTGGGATTATTTTTTCTCTTTCCGTCAGGGTCTTACTCTGTTGCTCAGGCTGGGCACAGATCACAGCTCACCTGGGTTCAAGCAATTCTTCCACCTCAGCCTCCCAAGTAGCCAGGACTTCAGGTGTCTACCATCACACCTGACTAACTTAAAATTTTTTTTTTTTTGTAGAGTCAAGGTCTTGCTATGTTGCCGAAGCTGCTCTTAAACTGCAGGGCTCAAGCAATCCACCAGCCTCAGTCTCCCAATTTGCTGAGATTATAGGCATGAACCACTGCACCCAGTTGGGAGTTAGGGCTTTGAATGGGCCCCTGGCAGCTGGTGTTTTTTTTTTAAGCTACTGCTGTGGATGTGCTGGCTGGTTAGAAAGAGTATGAGATGTTTACTCTCTCTAGAGGTCAGCCCTTTGGGTTCTTTCCCTGACCTCATCCTCTGGAATAGGCATTTTTTCCCAGTGTTTCTTGGTGACAAGGACGCCAAGGTTCTTCTTCCTCACTATGGTCATCTCCCACATTTCAGGGGACAGTTGTACTTCCATGAGGCATTTCTGGCCACATTTCAGAAATGGACAAGAGCCTAATCATAAACTCTTAGTTAAGAATATATTTTGGCCGGGCACGGTGGCTCAAGCCTGTCATCCCAGCACTTTGGGAGGCAGAGGCCAAAGAATTGCCTGAGACTAGGGGTTCGAAACCAGCCTGGGCAACATGGCAAGACCTCATGTCTACAATAAATATTTTTAAAAAGTTAGCTGGGCAAGGTGGTGCGCGCCTGGAGTTCCTGCTACTTGGAAAGTTGATGTGGAAGGATCGCCTGAGTCCAGCAGGTCGAGGCTGTGGTGACCATGAATGTACCACTGTACTCTAGCCTGGGCAATGGAGTGAGACTCCAACTCAAAAACAAAAACAACAACATATGTTTAATTGGCCAATCATTTCCCCTTATTATCTATCCACAGATCACAATACTAGGTCGTATGGAGTGAGACTGAAAAAAATGAGAGATGAAGAAACTTAAAAAAAAAAAGATGAGGTAAAAAGGACATAAAATCTAACCTTCAAAAAATTAGATTCTTAAAAACATATGAATAAATAAAGCACACCACTTACCTAGATTTTTCTTTTCCTTTTTTTTTTTGAGTTGGAGTCTCACTCTGTTGCCCAGACTGGAGTGCAGTGGCACACTCCCGGCCACCGCAGCCTCGATCCTGCTGGGCTCCAGCGATCCTTCCGCCTCAGCCTTCCAAGTAGCTGGAACTACAGGCATGCGCTACCATGCCCAGCTAATTTTTGATTTGTTGTAGAGATGAAGTCTCGCCAAGCTGCCTGAGGGGGTCTCGAACCCGCAGGCGCAGGCAATCCACTTGCCTTGGCCTCCCAAAGTGCTGGGATTACAGGTTGAGTCACCGAGCCCGGCCTACCTAGATTTTTCTAATGCCCTCTAAACAAACTGTCATGCTCCTTAATGCTGTATATCAGAGGTGACTCCATAAACCTCAGGACAATCTCAGAAGAAGCACTGTGCTGGAGGAGAAACAACTAGGTCCAAACTCTGAATGTACCATGAATTCATTTACTGTCTGTATGACTTCCATTGTATGACAAGTGGCCCATTTATACACCTGAAAAATGGAGAGAACAGTAACAAACCCATGAGGTTGCTATGAGGATTAAATAATTAAGTTATGATAACATGTTTGGTAAATCTTTACAGATTATTCAACTATCAGCTGTGGAGCTGGATGATATTTTGAAACACAAATGTGTATTCTTCTCTTTGCAATGTCCCCTTTTCTCCAATGGAGCAGACTCTCTGCTCAGTGCCTCACGGGAGGTATGCAGCAGCACAGAAAGTAGAAACCACTTACAAAACATGGGATGTGGCAGTGGGCTGGTGGGGGGTGACCAGTGAGGCCTGGAGGTCTGAGCGAGTAGGGGCCTGGGCCCAATTCTTGGTAGCACAGCCACCCTGGCAGCACAGCTTCCCCAGGAGGAGGATCTGGAGAGGCAGTGGCACACGCAACTCCTGAGCCTTATGTGTGGCACGGTCGTATCAGAGAGCCGCCAGACCCACAAAGATGGGTTAGGCTAAGGGGCCATGCCCCTAACAGCTTGACCCTGGGGACGATCCCAGAGCCCTGGGAGGGTAGATTAAGTTCTCTACTACATCAATAGAAAGAGGAATCTAAGCCAGAAACTGGGTAACTCTACAGAAAAAAAAAAAAAAAAAAGAAATGTTATTTCTTTTTGGTAATTTATACCCATTACAATGTCTAACCTCTAAACACCTAACATCTTTCTGGCAGCTAACAAAGCTCAATGTGATAAATATCTCTTGCTTTACTTTATAAATATATACATATAAGCCTTCTTCTCTGACTAAAAAGAGCACACAAGTTGTGCCACTCTAATAAAAAGACCATTGTCAAGGCATAAATTCTGCAATGGTTTTCTATATGCTACTAGGCACAAAGAGGATACTAAATAAAAAGCTGTTGGCTGACGGGTGACAAACTGTCCATAGCAGCTCATAACTTCCCTAGACCCTTGCGCTCAATGGCACACACTTGCCAACCAGTTGGCTAGGATTAGTGGTATAGTATGCTGTGATGAATGGGCCTTTTCTCCATACAATGCTAATGGGTTTATACAGAATTCATGACATGGGTGGTACTTGAAACACTGTGATCTAACCACATAAAAAAGGAACAAATAGATATATTCATTAGGGCAGGGCCTTACCCATCCAAGTTATGTAATACATTTCCAGAACCTAGAAGAGTATGAGGCACACAGTAGGAATTCAATAAATATCTGACAACTGACCTTTACCTCCACATATGATATACAAAGTAAAGGTAACTTCAACGAATACAGCCAAGTCTGGTATTCAAGATCCCAATACAAATCAAGTACAACACACAGAACAAGAATGGTTAGCTTTCCAGCATCACCATCTATAGTATGGACACCTACTTGGAAAAAGCTCAAAGCTTATGGGACAGGGCGGAGGGGGAGGAGAGAGCCCCAGGTTGATGCTTTCTTCAGCCTCTTCCTGTTCTTTATCAAGATGCTTCTGTGCTTTATTAAAAGATTTCTTTCCCAGATTCTGAACCCTAACATGACCTATATCCCAGAAAAGTTTTGATTTATGCGACTACATCAGCTGGTGCAGAGCACCATGGCATCTGTTTCTGTGGGATGTGCACATGGAGTGTTTTTCCATAGGTCTCATAGTCTGTTCTGGATCTCCTAGGGCTCAGCACAGGGCATACATTTCAATGAAATGACATGCTGGCCCTACACAATGGGACACTTAATACATTTATGCAATGATCCCAAATATGAGGAGGTCCCTTTAAATGGAGAAGCAACAGAAACAGAAGGAAAAAGAAAACAATTTGTCAAAAGACATCTCAAAACAATTGAGTCACCTGAGTGTCAATCAAAGGCAAGAGGACGTTATTGGGAGAGCAATCCCTGGAGAGTCAACTTCATTGTAAAATCAGAAGTGCAAGAGTCTTTCTTTTGGCCTGAATTTCTTGAGCTTCTATTGAGCTTCTAGTCTTAGCACACTCGATGCTGCGAGACACAGAAGACGCCCTCTCTCCTCAAGAAGCATTTGATAGATACTAATAACAACTCACATTTTTAGCTAGCAATGCACTTCACCTCACGTGATATCACTTCAACTTAGCTGTGAACCAGTAGTGCCAGGGATTTCTTCCCCTGAGAAAAACCCAGACGGGGGCCGAGGCAGGGGAGGGATGGGTGGGGTAGGGGCAGTGCTGAGCAGTAAAGGCTTTTTCCAGGTCACTCTGCCATGCAAATCGTGCACTTGAGCAAGGGCTACAGCCCACAACCTCTGCCTGAACCTCAGTACATCCAACACAAGATACAACTCAGAGTCCTTGAGGTAAAGAAGGAAGTGCAAGGGAAAGGGGTGAGGAGGGAGGCTTCACAAATCAGAAAGTGATGAGAACTGCTGGGAGAGGGACCAGTCATGACCAAGTGTATCTTCAAGTCCTAAACTGCCCTGAAGCGATAACAACTTTCTCTGGCAGATGCTCAGACAAGAGGTCATGCACAGGCACTATTCAGGTAATGCCCAGACAAACCAACCTCTTTCTGATCCCATCAGAAAGGTTTGACAATAACATAGTCTGGAGACAAGGAAATTCAAAGCATGGCATTCCTCCAGGGAAAATGTTGTGCTGGACCTGGGCCAGGGCTGCCAACACCTGTGAACAAGTGAATTCCAAAATGTACAGTCACAGGTTAGCTCCTCTAAGGCTTGGCTTACAGCGTTTCATCAAGAGAAATAAAGATAAGGAGATATCTTCTTGCCAACAGCCCCCACTTACCCACCTTTGGGGAGGGCGTGGACAGCATTAATCCTGGGTAAAAAGTACAATGAAAATTTTATTTTCTAAGCTCCCAGAGTTTTAGAGCCTGAAGTTTCCCACAGAGATATGATTCTTGCTAAAGAAATAATTTTAAGTCCTAACTAGAGACTCATGTCTGAAATAGTTTGATGTCTTCAGTTTTTATTATAAATTTGCTCATTTTATTTACTAGCCTATATTTCCATGATGAGACTGTGATAATTACAATGAGATACTACTTCATACTCATTAGGATGGCTATTATTGCCCTCCCCCCCAAAAAAAAGAAAGAAAAAAAATGTTGGTGAAGATGTGCAGAAATGGGAACCCTACCTTGCTGGTAGAAATGTAAAATTCTAGCCGGGCTCGGTGGCTCAGCCTGTAATCCCACGCCTTTGGGAGGCTGAGGTAAGTGGATTGCCTGAGCCCGCGGGTTCGAGACCCGCCTGGGCAACATGGTGAGACCTCACCTCTACAATAAATCAAAATGAGCCGGGTATGGTAGCGCGCGCCTGTAGTTCCAGCTACTCGGAAGGCTGAGGCGGAAGGATCGCCGGAGCCCAGCAGGTCGAGGCAGCGGTGGCCAGGAGCGGCCACTGCACTCCAGTCTGGGTGACAGAGTGAGACTCCAACTCAAAAAAAAAAAAAAAAAAAGAAATGTTAAATTCTGCAGCTGCTATGGGAAACAGTCTGGTGGTTCCTGAAAAAGTTAAACATGGAACTACCATATAATCCAGCAATTCTACTTCTAAGTGTATACTCAACGAATTGAAAGCAGTGACTTAAACTGCTGGGAGAGGGACCAGTCATGACCAAGTGTATCTTCAAGTCCTAAACTGCCCTGAAGTGATAACAACTCTCTCTGGCAGATGCTCAGACAAGAGGTCATGCACAGGCACTATTCAGGTAATGCCCAGACAAACCAACCTCTTTCTGATCCCATCAGAAAGGTATACAAGTGAAAGCACTTGTATACCAATGTTCACAGAAGCATTATTCAATTGCCAGAAGGTGGGGGGAAAGAACAATATCCACCATCGGGTGAATGGATAAACAAAATGTGGTCTATATATACAGTGGAATATTATTTAGCCATAAAATGGATTTCTAATACACGCCTCAATATTAATGAACCGTGAAGGCATTATGCTAAG